TGGCCCCAACTCAATCGTAATAGGTTGTGTACAAAGTCATTAGAAACGACCGCCCAAAACGTACACTGCTGTTATCTTGAAGCCACCTCCAAAGAAGAGCGCTAAATGCTCCGGATCCGGAAATGCTTATCGACGTTGATCACTCCTCTTTTCGTGGTAGACTGTTTATGTGAAGTATTACATGGCTGAATGTTCGATGAAGTGCTGAACTGAAAGCTGAAACGACGTCCAGAATAAAAGATTCAGGAATTGGATATTGAACCCAGGGACTTGCCAAAAGATAACTGGGTCACTGAAGGGGTTGAGGGGTATCATATGGGAAATTACAGCCAAAAGGGCCGAGCTGGGAATTGAACCCAGGACCACCTCCATGCTCTTCGTCTGAGCGGGACTTCCACCCGAAGGAGGTATCATACTACTAGACCACACGGCCTTGTTCGTTGGAGTGGACAAGGTTAATCACAAACGGTCGTATGAATTAGCGAAGATTAACGTCTCCTTTTCGGGGAACGGGAGTGGAGGAAGGAAGGAGAGGGTGGGAGGGATGAGGAAGTGTGGCGACGCGTCGAGGAAAGCATTGCTCTAAATGCGGAAAGTCTCGAAATAAGGTTCAGATGGAATATATGTCGTCTCAAGTGCAGTTGCAGACTCACAAAGGCTTCGAGTGCTTGAGGCACGGCGTTCGTTTCTAGGCATGTTAAGAAGGCACACGCCAACTAATAACATAAATGTGAGTTACCTGACGGAGTGAGTGAAAAGACCTGATGAGGCAATCGGAAGCATTGAAGCAAGGTTCGAGCTAGACCACTGAGGCTCGTACAAACTATAAGGAACGGTGTAGAGGAGGGGCGGATGAATGAACTCGCGAGTGGACAAAAATCATGGAGTAACCAACTTCCTCGTACCTCGCTAGGCTCCAACATCCAGAAAGTCGGAGGCAAGAAGTCCGATTTGGTCATTCTGAATAATACTAGACCACTGTGGAGACCAGGGGAAGAGAGTGGAGAAGGGTAAATCCTTATAAGACGGTCTGGGAACACCTAGCGAATCGCAGGGTAACCCGCGGGTTGGTCGAACAACGAAGTATTTTACAAAACATAAGACTGCATATAATACACAGTAATAGTTTTTATTAAACGCCTACATAAACAGTATTGGAATTGACTTCTGGAAGCTTTGCCGCAGCAACAGTATTGGAATTGACTTCTGGAAGCTTTGCCGCAGCAACAACATCACGCGTTTGCACCAGGCCCGACTTAAGCCACGCGTCGAGGCACAAAAGAGACCGAGTTGATTCTGCGGATAACCAAGTGCGAATGTGTGAGGGAATGATACGACCTCGAGCTCGATATCAACTGAGGTGGCTATTGTGCATCAAGCTCGTCATCGACACGAGCTCGAGGAGCAGAAGCCATGAGAAGATATAAGTATCAAGTGAGCAATAATTA